GGTCTGATTATACGCACTGGCAACCTTCGCAGCTTGCAGGTCTCTGGGATTGTGGAGGTAGTCGGACACGACGTTATTCCCCTCATCGATGGCCGGTGAAAGCCAGTCCGCAAGAAATGCGAGGTGCGTCGGGCGTGGCCATTTCGAGATGGGGCTGACGACCGTGTCGGGGAGCTGAGTGTACTGCAAATCGAGGGACAGATGCTCCATCGTCGCCGTCCTCAGGAAGTTGTACCTTCCGAGATGCGATCTCCCGGTTCTCGATGTGCAAAGCTCGCAGCCCAACTGCTCCAACAACCTAACGGCTCATATTCCCTTCCCTTCGATCTTCCACGTAGGGTCTTGACGTCCCCCCACTCGAGGAGAGGCATTCCTGTTTCCCTCTCATATCGCTTTATGTCGAAGACTGTAGAGACAGGGAGGAATTCTAGAGACTCTGAAGTGTCGATGTGTGCTGGGTGGAAGGGAGGGAGAATTGGAACGTAGTTCGTAGGGTATGGAGAAGAGCGGAGGAGGAAGAGGAGGTCGAGGAAGTTGAACAGGGAGATGAATTGGTTGTTGAATCCTGCCACATAGAAAGTGGTCGCGTACCGCAGATCCGGTAGGAGTTTTGCTGCAAGAATGTTTCAGTATAGAATCAATTAGATCGTGGAATAGAGGTGATAACTCACAACGGAAGGAAAGCTCGCTTGGTCCATCTGTTGCGTTTGAGAGATAGTTGGAAAGCTGGAACGGCCGCTGCATGGCAGAATAAGGAAAAGTTGCGAAATGCTGCCATTTTTCAGCGATGTACTATTGGGCTGAGCTGACAGAGGGTAATGAAGGTGTCGTCCGTATGTCGAGAAGGTAAAATGATGAGGAAAGGCCTGAAAAGAGAGCAAGGGCTCCGAAGAGCAGGTACTTGCGTCGCGACATGCCGGAACGCATTGATGAAGAGAACGACGATGTGTTAATGTCCTATAATAGTTGTATCACGACTTGACGTTGGCAGAGCTGTGAAGGTAGTGTAAAGCAGGGAGTGCAGGCTTACTTTACTTAAAACTTTGAGTATGGAGCACGAAGGCGTTCTCACTTGGAACCATAGAAAACTCCTAAAAGACTTTTTATGTTTATGGCTAGATTAAAGCAATAGTCCTGTCGAGATGTCCGAGTGGTCTAAGGAGCTTGACTTGAATAATTTTGAGATCAAGTGTTGTAAAACGCGCAGGTTCAAACCCTGCTCTCGACGGTTTTGTTTTTGATCCACTTGTTGGACTCACTGGAGACATCAATTCCAATGACATCCCTAGAGGCGTATGGCACACTCCCTGTGAGCAGCGCAGCCATAAATTATTCCATAAATATTGTGATGTAGCGTGAGTTTGCATCGTGCCAGCTCAAGAACAAGAGCCGATCTCGAGCTGATACTCAATTTTTCGGATAGCGAGGGAACACTCGATTGTTTTGGGAAATCAGCTGCTCAGCTGGGACGTCTGTGCAGACTTCCTATCGCTCGTCGCTCTCCAAGTGGACAGAGCTGTTCGTTCTCGTTCCCTGGGTCAACTATGGCCGATTCGAGGCGGCTCGCAAAATAGGAGCTTAAGAAGTAAGAGTTTGGAATCATTTGCTGGACGGTTTCATCGTATCCGTTGATAATCTCATCCTCATCCTTAAACCACATGGTTCCTTCATGGAGACATCGCCAACTTGCTCGCCACTTTTCGAACTTTGGATCCGTCATGCCACAGTTAACTTTTTGGCCTCTTGTCATAATAACCAGTTGATTCCCAAGTCTTCCTGTTCTTTTATAATGGAGAGTCTACGATATTATGTCTCATCCATCACTAGTGTTGCCTCAGGTTTAGTCACAGCGAATGAATATATAAATTCATCAACACGTGAGTCGACCTAACAAAAGTCTAGTTCGAAACTATCAACTTGAATTCGTTCTTGGTAGCCAGAACTCAAATTCAAATCCCAGAATCGAGGATGCAAGCGGTGTCTTCACTTCCAGGGGCAGGCGGATTGCAAGGGCCAGCGCAGGGGCAGCCGAACGTGATTAACCTCGGGAACCACATACCGCCCTTCAGCGTTGATGTGGTCAGGGGGACGGTCACCGTCTTCGCCTCGAAGGAGACGAGGACGCTGCCTGTTGCGCACGTCTTGAGTGTACGTCGTTCCTTCATTGTCTGGGTTTGAGCGGTTAGCGTTTGGGTTTGGACGAGCTTCTTACATGCCGTTGTGTGGACGACATTAGAAAGTCCAGCATCTCAAACAGAACAATCAACTCCATACAACCGAAGCGACCGTATGGAGAACGATATTGGGCTATTTCACTAGGGCAAAGAGTGCGTGTGTTCTCTTCCCTCCAAATACTATCTCACCACGCATGGCAGCCGATCAACTGTCTCAGCAGTCCGCGCCTCAGCATCAGGCGACTCCTTCCGCTCAACCACCTGCACCAGCCTCCGCAAACGCGACCAATGGGACTGTCAATCCATCCCCTTCCCCTCCTTTGCTTCCCGCACAATCGGTAGCCCGCCTCAAAGCACAGGTGACCGCGTATCAGGCGCTCGCGTCAGGCCAACCCATCTCTCCGGAGTTGCAACAGGCAATTCAAGGCACTAATCTCTCTCCTATGACCGCTGGAGGAGTTGGTGTTGGTGCCACTGGGGTGGCGGGTGCAGGAGATGGACCAAGCAGTAAGGAATGGGGCGAGCTAAAGAGGCAGCTGGAGGAGGGACACGGACGGATGAGTGTTGGGATCGTGGGGAAAGTGCCTTCTCAAGCGCCGCCAGCCTCGCAGCCTCTCGGACAGGCTCCGTCTCTGCCAACTGCCCCTGCACAGAGTCAGCCCCAGCTACCAAAGCAGGAGCGAAAGGAGCCGGACGAGGCGGAAATCGAGTTCATCGACACCCCCACGTACCCGTACACTGACATCGCAAACCCGTTCGCGTCGACGGACGAGGTCGACCTCGACTTCTCCATACTCGCTCTCACCGAACGCAAAGTCATACCTTCCCTCCTTCCCTCCGGTCTCGACCCGTACTCTCTCATCCAAGCCTCGGAACATCTTGCGTCTCTCAAAACCGCAATCCGCCTTCGTGAGCTCAGCGAGATATCAGCCAATCTGCCCGACGCGCCTTACTACGAGGAGCTAAAAACGAAACTCCTCATCGAATCCAAGGCGATCTCACTCCTCACACTCCAACGCACTCTTCGTCAACGAGTCATGCAATCTTACACGCCAGCGGCTGGTCTGAGTTTGGTGGAGGATCGGACGGCGTTCAGGAGGTACAAGAAGCCGACTTTGCGCGACTCCAAAGCCTTGCTGGAGGTGGAGAAGAAGCAAAAGCAGGAGCGAACGGCGCGTTCGAAGGCGGCCCACTCCTCTCAACTGTCCCAGGTAACCGCTCATCGCCTTTCCCTCCTCTCCGCGCACTCCATGCGCCGTACACGGGCTGGGAAATTGGGACGAGCCGTGTTGAAGTTTCATGTTGAGGCGGAGAGAGAGGAGCAGAAGAGGTTGGAGAGATTGAGCAAGGAGCGACTGAAGGCGTTGAAGAATGACGACGAGGAGGCTTATCTGAGGCTTATTGACAGTGCGAAGGATACACGTCTCACTCACCTTGTCAAACAGACCGATCAATACCTTGAAGGGTTGGCTCAAAGCGTCATGAAGAAACAGGCTGCAGCCGGTCAGATCGTAACTGGTCCTTTGGCGGCGGAAGGAGATGCCGTCGACGAAAGTGCCTTTGGCGCGCGCGCGGTGTTTGAGGAGGAAGAAAGGGGGAAGCTCGATTATTATAATGTCGCCCATCGCATTAAGGAGGTCGTCACCAAGCAGAGTCGCTTGCTGGTAGGAGGGGAGCTGAAGGAATATCAAGTGAAGGGTTTACAATGGATGATCAGTTTGTTCAACAATAACTTGAACGGAATTTTGGCTGATGAGATGGTAAGTCATTCTTCAATCTGCTATGACTGGTAATCGTGTATTGATGTTGCGTGGTTGATGTACAGGGACTGGGGAAGACGATCCAGACCATCTCCCTCATCACCTACATCATTGAGCACAAAAGGATATCCGGTCCCTTCCTCGTCATTGCCCCTCTCTCCACCATCCCTAACTGGCAATCCGAATTCGAAAAGTGGGCACCCTCCGTCTCTGTTGTCACTTATAAGGGCTCTCCGAACATGCGAAAGAAGCTCGCTCAAGATTTGCGGTACGGCTCATTTCAGGTTTGCCTCACGACGTACGAGTTCATCGTCAAGGATCGACCTGTACTTTGCAAGTTCCAATGGGTCCATCTAATCATCGATGAAGGCCATAGGATGAAGAATACGCAGTCCAAGCTCAGCTTAACACTCAATCAGTACTATAAAAGCAAGCATCGGCTCATTCTTACTGGTACTCCCCTTCAGGTCCGCCTTTCCCTCTACTCCGTCATAATTCGTCTGCTGATAGCGCGAAAAATATAGAACAATCTCCCTGAGCTCTGGGCTCTCCTTAATTTCGTCCTACCCGAGGTGTTTAACTCTGTCAAGTCCTTTGACGAGTGGTTCAATACCCCTTTCGCCAACACAGGTGGACAGGACAAGATTGAACTAAACGAAGAAGAAGCGCTTCTGGTTATCAAGCGTCTCCACAAGGTCCTTCGTCCTTTTCTCCTCCGTCGTCTCAAGAAAGACGTCGAGTCCGAACTACCCGACAAAGTCGAGAAAATAATCCGTTGCAAGATGTCCTCTCTTCAGTATCGGCTTACGAAGCAGATCAAAGATTACGGGATGATCTATACAGAGTCGGGGGAGGCTGTAGATGATGGTTCCGGGCCCAAGGGAAGCAAGGGGATTAAAGGGCTGCAGAATATTTTGATGCAGCTGAGAAAAATCTGTAACCACCCCTACGTGTTCCCCGAGGTGGAAAACGCTTTGCGCGCGACAAATTGGTCGGGGAATCCATTCGAGGATCCAAATATTTGGAGGGTTGCGGGCAAGTTTGAGCTATTAGACAGAATCTTGCCGAAGCTTTTCATGAACGGTCACAGAGTACGTTTCTTCCCAGTATTCGTTATGCACGCGTTTCCTGACACTTCGCTAACGTAAATGTGCTTAGGTTTTAATGTTCTTCCAAATGACTCAAGTGATGGATATCATGGAAGATTACCTCAACTACCGAAAGATCAAATTCCTACGACTCGATGGCTCCACAAAACCCGATGAAAGAGCTGGACTTCTGAGCCAGTTCAACGCTCCTGATTCAGATATCCCCATTTTCCTTCTTTCAACTCGAGCTGGCGGTCTTGGTTTGAATCTACAAACTGCTGACACTGTCATTATTTACGATTCGGATTGTGAGTCTCTCAATCTTTGGCCTTCGCAGCTGAACAACAGCAGGGAATCCGCATCAGGATCTCCAGGCTCAGGACCGAGCGCATAGGATTGGACAAAAGAAGGAGGTCCGAATCTTCAGACTCGTGACGGAGAAGAGCGTGTATGTTGTTCTTTTCGTTATATCGACTCGGTGTGATATTTTGAGGGGAATAGAGAAGAACAAGTCCTGGCTAGTGCGCGGAGGAAGCAAGACCTTGACAAGAAAGTTATTCAAGGAGGAAAATTGTGAGTCCCCTCCTGTCTCTGATTGGTCTACTTATCAATCTTCTTCGTTCAGCGATAATAAGACTTCTGTCGCGGAAAGAGAGGAATATCTTCGTCAAATCATGGCCCAAATCGAAGAGGAGGAAGACCCTGACTCGGAACTTACTGATGCGGAGCTGAACGATATCCTTGCTCGAGGGGATGAGGAGCTACGACTTTTCAATGAACTGGATAGGAAGCGGTTTGCCAGCGAGAAGAAGGATCGAGAGCGATCAGGAAAGAAACAACAGCCTCGTTTGATCGAAGAATCAGAACTTCCGAGAGTCTGGAGAGCGGATTATGTACCGCCTAAAGAGGAAGAAAAGGACGAAGGAGGACCTAGGAAGCGCAAGGCGGTTCATTATGACGATGGGTTGACAGAGGAACAATTTATTAACGTTTGTAACATTCTTTCTGTTCCCGCTAGCTGACAATCTATTCAGGCCCTTGAAGACGATTCCATTGATGTCGCCGAATTCGTAGATGCGAAGAGAAGGAGGAGGGAGCGAAAGTCGAACACCAAGGTGAAGAGGCAGGATGATGTGGTGAGCATCGATGAGGACACGCCAGAACCTGCGGGGAAGAAAAGGAAGAGGGCTGGAGGGAAAGGATTCT